AGGGACTGTCGCTGAAATGAACTAATACATTGGATATACATACATGCCCCCAATACAGGTTCGCGCAGAGGCATACACAAAAAAAAATGATGTCACTTCTTAAACATATACTGAAAGTATATATTTATGATGTGCGTAATTCCACAAAAATATGATCTTGCAAATATATCTTCTTCTGTGTGTCGCGTCCCTTCAGGACGTAAGCAATCATGGCTCTCCACTTTTCTCTGTCCCTATTTTGTCATCTACTTGACTGCTAGGTATGTCATGCGTTGCTTTCAATTGTCTTTCTTTTCCTCTACCCGCCCCGTGAGTATCAGATTCTCCAAGCCCTCATTTCTCATTACCTGTCCCAGAAATTTCAGCTACCTCTTCCTGATTTAAGTATAAGCTTCCTCTTTGTTTGCATCCTCTCCAAAACCTCATTGTTGCACACATGTTCCGTCCTTAGCATCCTTCTGTAGAACCATACCTCCGTTGATTCGAGTCTCTTCTTCATCTTTGAGGAGACCGTCTAACATTCGCTGCCGTAACGGAGGACAGATATCACGTAACAGTAGAGTACTCTTTGCTTTGTTGCCAACTACTTTGCCTAGCCTTTGGAATGCGTCTTTCGCCTTCCAAATACGTCTTCGGATCTCAGTGTCGCACTTACCGTCCTCTGTCATAACACTTCCCAGATATTTAAACTTCCTCACCTGCTTGATATTAGTGTCCCCGACCTGTAAATAGCATTTCGGGCTCTTTTTACTGACGACCATGAATTGTCTTCTCGTAGTTTATTCTTAGTGTCTTTTTCTCGCTCTCCAACATATCTTATATATATATATATATATATATATATATATATATATATATATATATTACATACAAAGAAATAATCACACATAGAATCAATCAGAAGTATTAATGCGATTATTGGCGACATCCATCGCTAGAAACATAATATATGCATTAAAATACTGTTAATCCATAGTGCGAAGTGATCCTTGTCGATAAACTTGATGTCTGTAGTTTTCAGTTTATTTGATGTTAAAATGCTAGTACTTACGAATAGTCCTCTATTCATCATCAGGCATGTGTTTTTTTCCTTATAAAATCAAAAACTTTGAGACGAAATACTTGTATGTCGACCGAAAGATAAAAATTCCTATAAAAAAAACTACTACTAAGACATTACACTATATTATTGAACTATATACTTAGTTCATGACATAAAAACTGAATACACTTGTAAAATAGAATACGTGGATTTAACACATCACAAGAAATATTTAAATAGAATTCTCACTTAAAATTTTGAAAAACTTAGCGTTGCGTCTTTGCACGTTCGGAGATCTTACACAACCGTCAATAATAGCAGATATTCAAAAAACATCTTTCGGTCGACATACAAGTATTTCGTCTTCGAGTTTTTTTTTTTTTTTTTTTTTGATAGACCCGTTTTGAAAACGTGTAAGCCATGAAATATGTTATAACGACGGAGCTGAGAAGCATCCAAGAAGAATCCTTCCAGGAGTACATGGAAGCGTGGCAGAGAAGGATGGTAATGTACGTTAGGCTCAAGGGGGATTACTCTGATTTACATAATTGTTTAGAACTGAAATAAATTGTTTATGGCACAATTCCTGTTACTTTTTAAATACCTCGTAAATAATTGTTTATATGTGAATATGTACCTAGCCATATATACACTTAAACTCAGAAATATACACATGTAGACATGTGTCTGTATATATATATATATATATATATATATATATATATATATATATATATATATATATATAAAGGCTTAAACACTAATATTCCATGGTCATAATTTATTCCATTGGAATCTTAAATACGATCCAATTCATCAGACCTACAATATATATATATATATATATATATATATATATATATATATATATATGTTTCATTAAAAACGACAGACAAGGTTTCTACGGTTAAGCTTTTTACTTAATTTTTCTTGTGTTCTAACAAGAGCTTTCTTTTCTGGACAAAGGATGTGTAAGAACTGTCCAAATGTTTTATATTTCCGAGCGCTTTCGGCTATACCTTTAGCCATTATCAAGGATGATTCGATTTTTCAGCTTAATTGAGTGTGTGCGTTCTGTGTATGTCTTAGTGTGTTGTAGGGATGTTTTTAATTTCCGAATATGGTTAGCACATTGTGGCTTTGTTCGTAGTTAATATTGTTAAGAGTTGGCTTTTTCTTTTTTTATTATTAAAGCTTCCATTATTTTTAGTCCTTTTTTTGCAGGTGGATGCAGTTAATATATTTGTGTTTTCTACTAGTATGTTTTTAATGGAGTCTGGTAAATTTGTATGTGTGTTTAAATGGGTTCTAATGGAGCTGTGATAAGATAGGTGTAACGTAAATGTATGGATAACCATGTGGTTGTGCAACCGATGTAATTATTATATATATATATATATATATATATATATATATATATATATATATATATACGTGTGTGTGTAAAAATTTCAGACA